GGAAAATAAAAATTACGTTCAAGATTCCTGCATTTCAACACAAACAGTAACCCAGTAAAGTAACATTATTATTTATTTTCAGAAGTCACTAAAAAAACTGCGGTGAAACTGGTTTTTTTTTTTTAAGAGATGCTCATTCAGACAATTGGAGTAAAGCACATTTGGAAAGGTACACAGTCTACGTCTATTATTGCACTTATCTTTTTACAACAAGGCATTTAAAAATAACCTGAACACAAAGGACATATTTATAAAAACGATTGTGTTAATATACAACATCGTACTGGAAGTAATGTGTTGCAGTTAAAAAAAAAAACACTCACACAGAATTGTGGCCTGTTTCATACAAGAGGCAGTGGTGTTGCCAGGAGAAGTCAAAAAAGTAAAGATGGCAGCTGTAACCCTACCAAGCCCTGCCCCTTTTTTTTACACGAATCAGGTGTTTTAATTGCGTGCTTGGGAGGCCATTTTGACTCTTTTGACACACACCTGGGTAAGAGGGGGTAGTAAACTTATGTCTGGGTGGCTAACTCTGAGGTCATCCATTGGGAGTCACATAAATGTTCCAAAGGTAGAAATTAATCTGCTAAGCACCTAGTTTGCTCTCTATAACCCATGAGATGTTTACTGTCTCCTCAACTATGGTGTGATTTTGAGTTCTCCCATCTTTCCATTGTGTTACTATACAACTCCCTTGCTCAATTCGTTCCTTACAAGGTGCCACTTTCAATGACACGACAAATATATATTCCACCCAGCTTCTGCGATATGCTAATTTCAGATCCACTAATTCAAAATTATTATTATCAAGCTGACAGCTCATCAGTAATAGGGACATATAATTGATGTCTAGAGCAAGGTAAAAGACAGCATAAAAATAAAATTAATCATAAATTTTAAACGATATTCATTTTTTCACATAATTAACTTTTGTGTCTGGCGAACAGATGGACTTAACACAGTCTGAATACATTCTGAATACCCTTGTCATGATTCCAAATTAATATTTATAAAATTATAATACATTAAGTTCACTTTTCATGTATAGATCAAGTGACTGATGGCGAAGTTGCAGACAAAACATCTTAATTTAAAGATGCCTTTATCCTAGCAATTCTGGAAGGAAACACCAGCATGCCAACCGTGCAATGGTAGGCAAGGTATCAGCCAGTGCTCAGATTTCAACTTTGCCGCCTACTAATTTAATGTTATATCAGCACTACATACTACCAGAATCCCTTTGGGCGTATTGGCTACAGAATTTTGGTATTTGTAGTTCCTATGTTTCTGCATGGCACTAATTTGGGGTAACTCACTCTTAACAGGAAAAAGAAAATGGAAAGAGGAAGATTTACAGATGGTGATTCATTTCTGTATATACAGGTAGTCCTTAACTTACAACCGGTTGCTTAGCAACTGTTTGAAGTTCAGATGGACTTACCTGAGAAAGGTACTTATTATCTGAATGCAAAGTTCTGATGGTCAGCCCCCTCCTCGGTCATACGACCACACTTCAAGCACCCGGCAACTGGGGTACATTTATTTATTGTATTTATTTATTTATTGTTTATATTTATATCCCGCCCTTCTCCTTGCGGACTTAGGGCGGCTAACAACCAGATAAAAATGCAAATCCCAAAACTACAGATTAAAACATAATTAAAAACAAATATTAATAATTGGTCTAATTTATTTAAAATTACTTTAAAACCCCCATTAAAAACTTTCCCCTAGGCCAGTCCTGCAAGCCATTTATGGTGTCCTGAGGTCACATGAATGTGTTTGATGATGGCTTTTCTGGAAATCAGCATTGAATTCTGGGTTTTGGCAAAACTGGCCCATAGGAAGCCATGGGTTAGCTTAAGGACCATGGTGGTCACTTTATGACTACGATATTCGCTTAAGGACTGCTGTAAAACAAGTCATAAAATCAAATCAGTCATGTGACCAATCCACTTTATAACCATCGCAAATTACGACTGTTGGGGAAGGAGGCTGAAATATTTTACGGAAATGGTCTTTTATGCAAACATTAATGCGGGGGCGAAGATGGTTGGTTAAGCTCCCTTCAGCCTCAGATTGCAAACTCTGAGGAGAAAAAAACGGAACCCAGAGATTCTGAAACAACAAACTTCTCCTCTGCAGAACACACCTCTCAACCATTGATTGGTTGCAGAGCCCCAAGCTCCACCTTCTGCTGCCGGCCTAACCAAGAAGGAAGGGACTGATGGTATAATGAGGCCTTGCCTTGCCAACCCCATTATAGTGGCTTGTGTTATACTAAGTCCTTCCTGCAGAAAGTGGCTGTGGCTGTGGAATACAATTGTGCTAACCGGGTTGTAATGGTGATTTTGATAGACCTAGCATGATGGTGAGCTGTCCAAGGTGCTGGAAAAGATATGACTTGAGTTAGGGGCTAACTAGATCAAACGCTGAATGTTGTTACCAGCAAGGGTAAAGTGGATTGCAATCCATTTGCAATAAATCTCCATTAAATGCCTTTAATTTTTTTCCTGAAAGCACTTCTTGTAAATGCCCATATGGATCGGGGTCGTCTGTAGGGTTTCCCCCCAAAATCATGGAAGAGACTGTGCTTGTGCAAAGCCCCGCCTCTTTTTAGGTACATCCTGATGCACCTAAAAATGAGGTTAGGGCTTGAATCACATTGGTCGCAGCTGCCATTTTGATTGTTTTTAGCCCCACCCTGTGAATATGTGGCTTCAAATAAATATACAAAATAAATCCACTCACCACAAGGGTGATGTGGCTTGGTGTAAATGGGTTTGTCATAAATATAAATCTCATTTGGTGTTTAAAATCTGGAATTGAGGGTTTGATAGTGACATAGGAATTTAAGGCAACAGGAACAATATATATATTTAATTAATTTCCAATATTTGTCATTTCCTTGAAAACTAATCCCCCCCCCTCCAATTTATTTTAGGATTATCATACCGCTTTGTGCTGATACCTGCCTCTCCCCAATCTCCCTTACATTTAGCTCTCTGCCTAAAATAATTTCCCCACTAAAATGATTTGTCAGGCATGTGTTTTGACTATGTGTAGAAGTATTCAGAATTAGTGCATGTGATACTGTGACGAAGTGTGTAAATAAAAGTAATTTTTGTTCATTTTGAGATTGTGAACTACATACACATTTTCCACAATCTAGAGGGAACACGTGCAACCACACAGACTCTTTAACCGTCTATTTAAGAAACTGCTACCACAGATGCACAAAAAACCTGCTAAAACCAACATTTTAGAATAGAATTGGAAGTTATGGCCATATAGAATTGAAATTCAGAAAACCCACACTTTCAGGCCCGGACTTGTAATTTGTTTTCTCTTTGTTTTGAAAGTCACAGGAGGTGGCAACACCTGAGAGTTCTTCAAAAAGCTATGCAGATCAGACCTGGTGATCTCTTAGATGAGGAACACTCTGGAACTACAGGCTGTAGACTAGAATGAAAAGTCAGAAGCTAAAAAAAACCCTTAGGAAGTAAAAATGAAGTGGGTAACAGCAAATGATTTCATACCATTGCAAAAACAAAACAAAAAACCAACCAAAGGAGACATGCAAGTAGTAATCAGGAATAGAGCACAACTAAAATAATCTTTCACGACTGAAACTGTCTTTATCAATTGTTCCTTCCATTTCATTTCAAAAATATTGAATGCAATTTTAGGCAAATCAAGAGTGCCTTTCTGTAAAAATGTGATCTTGGTTTACTGCCTTATTTTAATAAAGTGTATCTTCCTCGGCATTAGGAAGATGCTGTAAGTTCCATTTTTCTAAAATTCTTCCAATTTAAATTCTAGAGGCCAATAACTGTGATTTTGGATGATAAACACTGAACATTATATCCCTACTAAACTGTCCTAGAAAAACAACAATTGTTTCTAATTATATTTTCTCCCTGTATCTATTCTTCAATCTACATACTGTATAGTGTCACATCCAGGTTTGGTGATTTAATATTGACAGTTGAGACGTTTTCATTAGCACTCCCCAGGTCCTTGAAAAAATTCTTACCTCTACAATAGAAAACACATATTTTTTTCCCCAGACATTCTCATTTTTTTAAAACTAAAAGCATGCTGGACCCTCAAAAGCAGCTGAAGTCAAAACTACCTGGTATATCTAGAAAACCCTTGTAGTCAACCATATTGGACAATTTCATCGCTCAGTTTGAGTTACAAAATGTAAAAATTTCAGACAGACACATTCAAATCATTCGGACGTTTTAAAAGACACTCAGGTTTCCTAATACATAGTACGTTTCCCAATAAATAGTTATCAGTTTACAAAATTTACGGCAAATACTTCTCTTTGTGATAAAGAGTTTAAGAAGGACCATGAAAATGAGTTCATGGCTAAACCTGAGGTGTCCTTTGCGGGGCCAGTGGCTTCCAGATGAATATATGAAGCTGTCTTTCACCAAATCAGGCCACTGGTCCTTCTAAGCTGAGCATGTGCTGTTCTAGTGGGCAACAGCTCTTCCGGATCTTTGGCAAAATCCTTTTCCAGCTCTGCATGTTCTGATATTCAAGACCGTTGAGTTGGAGATGCCCAGAACTAAATCTGACAGATTCACCTTCAGTGAGCTACAAATGCTGGGAACAATAACCCGAAGTGATGGAAAAGAAGATACCAAAACTCTTCATTATAATAATAAGAAACCAAATGCAATCTCTCTCTTTTTTGCCCCACTGTACAGTATACTACCGAACTTTCCATAGAGCCAATGCAAAACACTTCATTGTGCCATCTTTGGCATTAAAAGCAAAAGACACCGACAGTCATCGATTTAATTTATAAAATGCAGGGATTCTTTCCCCCCCCTTATTGCTCTAGATTTGTATAGTTGGTATCAGCTATCCAGGTTACGTGGCAGGTGCATTTTGCACCCACTCCTTTGTAGTCTTCTCATATCCTATGTTCCTTCCCCCCCCCCCCCCCATCCATGGGTGTACTGAAGAGAGAGAGAGAGAGAAATAGAGAGAGCAGACCGTAAACACAAAGCATTGCTTCTGAGTGTCAGTGGCAAAGATTGAATAAGAATTCAGTAAGAAGAAGTAATATGTTGGGAAATTATGGCACCTTCCATAAGCATGGAAAGAAAGACACCATCTGCAAACAAGAACAAATTAAATCAATTCCTTGCTTAGGTCAGCTCCAGAGTTTAGGAGATTTATTGAAGATCTCTCATTTTTTATGAACTGCTGCACCTCCTATCCAGAGAGTCAGTGCAGACAATAGCCGCTTTGATGACTTGTGTTCCTGCTGTTGCTAAGTTCTTGTTTATTTATCTTCTCAGTGAACAAGTTGATTGCAATTAAGAGAACCAAACGGTGCCCAGAGGCCCTCCAATGAGGTCTAAACATGGGGTAGCTGCCTGACCATATTGACTCTTGATACCAGTCTTGCATATGTATCTTGATGCTTCTTGACTGATTAAACCATTCTGACCTAGTAGAATAACATCCCAGATGCCACCATTCCAGCTGCTGGCAAACAAAACTGGTAAGGTTGTGCTCAAAAGGTAAGTGGAACTCAGGGATCGGGATCCGTCATTCCGGCGGCCGATGCTTCCTGATCAGCAGGTGAATGGGCCCCTCTGGGACAGACTTAATGATGTTCCACGCATCGTAGTGCATGAGTCCAAGCAGGGATTTTCCTCCAATCGCAAGAATTTCATCACCCACTTCCAGTTTTCCAGCTTGTTCAGCAGCACCACCTGTTGGCAGAAATATCAAAGTGCAGATTGGTAGAAAGACTGAAAAAAATAAACACTATTTATAGTGTTAAAATACAATACATTACAGTTCATGTACAAAACCTCTATAGGTTATTTTCTTTGAAAGATGCATCGAGCATTTCTGATAAACAGGGTGACAATAATGGCATAGAGAAAGCAGATTAGGAGTTGGCTGGTCTGTCGGGTGAGGTCTAGCACGCTGGAATTTTGAACAGTACAAGTATCAGAAAATGATACTGGGCTAGAAAGTCCAGTTGCCTTGTGAAAAAGCACCTTCGGGAGAACTATGACCTGGATGACTGAGAATCTCCAGACATTGGTACTGGGCTGCGTCATTTTGTTAATGCTGACATAAATATTTTCTTCAGGGGAGATGGGGTCCCCTTTTTTATTTCTGCAAATAAATAAAGGCCATTCAGACTTTTGTAAAGAGGGCAGTGAGATTTCAGACTGTCTTTAGCCGAGGAAAAAACAGGATTTTTCAGAAAATTGTCCAAGTTACCTTTAAAAATTCTTTTGATGAACAAAGGTCTGTCTCCAGATACTGAAGCTTTCCCACCATCCAGGCTGAAACCCAAGCCAGCAGAAGTCTTCAAAAGTTCAACACAAAGGGCCTCATTCAGTTCTCCGCTTGGACCTTTGGAAAGAAAACAAAATCAGAAAACTTGCTCTAATGATCAAATATAGGTTAATCACCTATAAGAGGTCATACCGCAGAGAGCACAAAATAGGCTTTGACAATACATCAGAGACATGTCTAGTTCTCCAAATCTTTGGAAATTATAAATTATATTTTGCAGTCTTTCCTTCCTCATATTATTTATATTGTTTGAAATGGAAAGCGGACCATCTGAGACTTCTTTTTTTAGCTGTGGGAGCAGGGCTTCAGTTATGCTGTTAGAATACTTGAACTTGGATTATACAAATGCCTATAAATCTAAATGTCTCTGGAAATAAAATGTTCATATTTATTATCTGATTTTTAAACCAAAAGTCGAGAGCCACTGTCAGATTTCCAACTGTTCTGCGTGAAAATCTAGCAGTTCAGTTCTGTTTTGGCCTGAGATATCTAAGCATCTTCCTATTTTTCAAATGATTATTTGGATACTAAAGGAGTCCAATTGACAGTTGAATGTATTTTCATATTTTCACTTACTCCATGCAAAAATTTATAATTAGAGTATGAATCTTATGGGGGAAGCTCTCTCTGCCACTGCTATGATTTCTTGAGAGAGTAGAAGGGTGGATGAATTCATTTCAAACACTACTGAATCTATATCAGGGGTAGTCAACCTTGGCTCTTTTATGAATTGAAGTCCACGAGTCATAAAAGAGCCAAGGTTGACTACCCCTGATCTATATTGTACAGTACCTGCTTCACTTCCCGTGGCTGCATCCACCAAAGTTGGCCTATCAGAAGTAGGCATCTCATTGTTCTGAGGAGGCCTCCTTCCTCTGTCTTTCTCCTTTTTGATGACCACGATGGCATATTTATGGAGCCTGGCCTGATGGAGCGCGTTGAGTACATCCCCATGGACAGAACCCGCCAAACAAGTGCCATTGATAGAAAGAATTAGGTCACCACGGTGAATTTTCCCCTCCTGGGAAGCCACCCCTTTGGAAAACACACGATGGACCTTCAAGAAGACACATTACAATGAAGATTGTCAGTGGATCAAAGAACTGTTAGCAGATTTAAAAGATTCTCCTTTTCCCCAGTTTAACTAACTGATTTGTGTGTGCCTTCGAGTCAGTCTTTACTCTTGGCAACTGCTTGGACAAGACCCTGCCGTGTTCTTAGCAAGATTTCAGAAGTAGTTTGCCATTATCTGCTTTTTAGGGCTGAGAGACAGTGACTGGCCCAAAGTTACTCAGCTGGCTTTGTGCCCAAGGTGAGACTAGAACTCCTGGTCTCCTGGTTTCTATAAATCTTCACATGAACAGAAGTTCAGTAATTGTGCCTTTTGGACTGTTGGAAAAAAATGTGAGACAATATCCAAATTCACAGAATCTGGCTCCTGTTATTAAGAATACCAGCTGTAGCATTTTATTTGTCAATTACTATGAAACATAAAACACGCAACCCAGAGCAAAGCAAATGTTCAAGATATGAAGGCATGTTGAATGATCAACTGATTAAAAATGAAGGCCAATCAATCTACTGAATATGTAAATTGGCAGCTCAATTTATTACGAAATACTTCCCTGATACATAGATTTTGGAAGCCAACCATGATGTACTTCAGAAGGCTAAGAAAAGGTAAAAGTAAAAGTTTCCCACGTCTAGTCGTGTTCAACTCTAGGGCATGGTGCTCATCTCTGTTTCTTGGCCAAGAGGACCAGCGTTGTCCAAAGACATTTTCCGTGGTCATGTGGCCTGCATGGCTATATGCCAAACATGCATGGAATGCTGCTACCTTCCCACCAAAGTGGTACCTATTAATCTACTCGCATTTGCGTGTTTTCGAACTGCTAGGTGAGCAGGAGCTGGGGTAAGGAACAGGGGCTCACCCTTTTGTGTGGTGCTCAGGTCTCGAACCCAGGCTGTCAGCTTTCCATCTGAAAAGCTCAGAGTCCTTAACCTCTGAGCCATTGCATCCTCTGTGAAGGTTAGGAAGGAATGGACTAAATAACTGGAGCTACCCAAAGGCCAGTATAGGCTAGTGTTCTGTCCTTGGAGAAGCTTCCAAGCCAGATAATAATACAGAGAGTAAAGGAATGTGTTCTCTTGCCCAAAAGGTACCAATGATGGTGAAACAGACCAACCCATGCTACACAATGTAGTTGAATCTGATCATGTGAGCCAAGTCTCTGTGGAAGTTGATGGAAAGATAATATAGCACTGTGTAGGAATGTCAGCCAAACTCAGAAACAAAGGCTTCTAATGTTTAAAACAGATGCTTCTTGTAATATTGTGAGCCAAATTTCCAAGACAGATACATACTTTTTGGAAGATGATTTTGAGCGGCCTAGGCAAGGGGGCTGCACTTTGGGTTAACAAGATCCTTTGCTACACAAAAATAATGCTCTTTGCCTTGTCCAAGAGCAGAAATTATGCAATTTGCCTCCAGGCTGGTTTGGAGAATTCTCCATATACTTCTAGCAAAGGGAAATACCAGAAGAAATCTCCAAATAATAACCAAAGTAACATAGCAGCTTCACTTCGCTCAACAGCTTCAAAAGATTTCACCCAAAGCTTCATTGAAGCCAAATCCCCCTTTGACATAGTCCTAGTTTTGGTGTCCCAGCAGGTGGCAGCATTTAGCTGACCTTGGCTGACTTTGAGAAGCTAAGCGGGGTTGGACTTGTTTAGTATTTGGATGGGAAACACCTGAAAGTCCCAGGGGCTGATGGAGAAGTTGTAAAACACCAGAAAGGAGACAATGGCAAACCACTGAACTTAACTTGAGAAAGGCTTTGCCTTCAATCTCAAGGTATTCATCTCTACCACTGAAGAATTTGTTTCTGTAAAAGACAGGGAATCATTCAGAAAAACACACAGAAATCATAGGCAAGTTGCCCTGAACTCCTAAATGGACTATAAATAAAGACAAAATGAATTCAGATTCACCCCAAGCTAAAGACTGTAGCTGAGTAAAAATAAGTGTACAGAGAAACGAAGCAAATTCAATAAATAAATTTGGATTGCGTAAGTAAGATTCCATTTGATATTGCCAAACATCCAATGATCCTAAAACAGTTGCAGTTCATATAAGCCACAAATGTTTAACTAATGTACTTCCTACAGCTCTTTTAAACAGTTTTTTTCAGGTCCCAGTAGAAAGACTGGGTTTGGGAATCCTGGAATACAAAGCATATGATTGGAAGTATTATAGGGCTTGGATGGAGCGAATGTTAGGATTTCCAGTCGCCAAGAAATGTGTGAGCCTATCACGGATACTTATCTTGGCAAACTTGTGTGCATCAGAGTTTATCTGGCATGCAAGCCCACTTGCCTCTCTGATAGCATCAACAGATGGGATACAAAATGAAGCAAGCAAACTTTCACAATAGGATTGTACAGCTAACTCATGACTTGATAAATGAGCTCTCGATCTAATTTCCAGCTGGCTTTGCAACCCACTTAGAAGAAAGATGCAGTCGCCACTTACGATGATTGATTTTTGTTCCAGGTCTATTCCTCCAGCGACGCTAAATCCCAGGCCAGAGCCTTCCTCTTTATTCAAGACTACAAAATAAATATCTTCCTTGCTCTGATCCCCCCCCAAAAAGGAGGGGGAGGAAGGGAAGGGAGGGGGGGGAGAAAGGAGACAAGACAAAATATCCAAAGATTAAAACCGTTGAAAGAATACACCCCACAATTAACATAAAATGCCTGCAAGATAAATCTAACTTTTTGCTTAAAATAGCTACAATTTCAGAAATTAAAGTTTCTAACTTGGAAAGCCTAAAGAAGAGATTTGAGTTTATTTAATGTCACCAAAATAGTACAAGGACTCAAGCAAACGACAGCTTAGTTTAAACTGCCCCTTCCAGAGTTCAGGTCTGGAATTAATTTTTAGTGCCCAGGCACATCCATCCATCAAGTTCGTAATAAAAGGAAAAGTGACATCTGCACATGTAGCCCAACCTCTAAGCTCACCAAGCAGAAAAGCAGAAATGGACTGACAGGCACATGTGGATTACATAAAGCTCATGAGCAAAACATGTGTCCAGCCATTCGTTTTGAATTGTGGAGGTGCCTCACGTTGTTCGGGCTCACCCTGTGCATAAAACTGAAAGTCTTGGACTGGGACGTGATGATGGGAAACCCCCCCCCCCCATTATGAATTGAGCTACCTCATCTCTAAGCAATTTAAAGCACCTCACAGAAGAAATCAAACTATTTGAAGGCATTCCTGTCTCCACCAACCATTGATGCTATGAAACAATCAACAGAGGACCTTTTCCAGGTTTATGAAAGGCAAGGTGAATAAGTGGAGACTAGGGTCTTTTCGGCGAGAGTACCCAATTTATGGAAACCTCTGTCCATGGAAATTCACCTGTGTCTAACTTCAGGTAAAGACCTACATCTTCTCCTAGTCCAGGGGTAGGCCGCCTTGGCTCTTTTATGACTCGTGGACGTCAACTCCCAGAATTCCTGAGCCAGCATGGCTCAGCTTGGAAACCTCTTCCTTTCCCCTCAGCATGGCTGGCTCAGGAATTCTGGGAGTTGAAGTCCACGAGTCATAAAAGAGCCAAGGTTGCCTACCCCTGTCCTAGTCTTTTAATTTTAGGTCAATATTTGACTATTTTCAGTACTGTTGTGTAGAACAGAGCTTTTCAACCTTTTTACCCATTGTACCACTCTTAGGATATGGCAGTATCTGAGTACCACTAGTCGCCTAGCAAGGTGTCAAAAACTTGATGACCCCCCCCAAAAAAGGAAAAAATTGATAAAGTACAGGCAGTCCTCGACTTACAACAGTTCACTTAGCGACTGTTCGAAGTTACACAGCCGAGCAAAACACCTGCCTACCCACCCGACCGCACTCTTCCTCCTGTCCGAGGTTTTCATTGTTGTGAGCATTTCTGTTGAGGATTGGCAGTGGGGGTGGGGTGGGGTGTGTGTGGTTTTTATTCCTCCCCGTCTGCTGGGTGGTTGCAGCAGGTTTTGGTCACTTCATATGACCCTGGGACACTGTGACCATCATAAATATGAATCAGTTGCCAAGCATCTGAATGTAAATCACAAGACCTTGGAGATGCTGCAACATTCCAGCTGATCAGCGCTTCTTCTGGGCTCAGCAGAAGCGCCAGGATCAGTGCTGCTTTCCAGCTGATTGGCGCTTCTTCAGGGCTCAGCAGAAGCACCAGAATCAGCACTGAGCTCCAGCTGGAGCCTGGTTCTGATCCTGGCGTTTCTGCTGAGCCCTGACAGCCCCGAAGAAGCGCCGATCAGCTGGAAAGCGGCACCGATCCTGGCGCTTCCGCTGAGCCCTGACAGCCCAGCAGCTCCAGCCATCTCTCGCTCAGACTTGTGCGGTGCTGCCACCGGTTCAGCTCATTCCCCTCCCCTGCTACCACTTTTTTAGGATGGTCGCATACCACCTGCTAGGTGCCAATGTACCACAGGTGGTACCTGTACCACTGGTTGAAATGCCCTGGTGTAGAAGAACGGGCTATTACTCAAAAGCAGTTTCACTTTCCTGGAAAACATTTCTGCTGGCATGCAGTGTGACTTCTAATGCTTAGCACTCCCAAAACTGTGATACAGAAGAATGCAAACAGGGGACAGGAACAATGAAAACTGGATGTCATGACTTGACAAAGCAACATCTTTGTTTTTTTTATTGTTCTTTGTTACATTAAGTCCAATCTGGAACACTTATGTTCACATGGGGAGGAAGCGGGGGTATAAAAATGCTAAAATTCAGGTCCTAGCTTTGACGTAGTTCAATACAAAGACTTCTATTACAGAAGCAGTTCAGCCAGACCAGATAGTGTTTAATTTGAATCCTAGTTGCCAGAAATGTGGCAGAATCTGCAAAATATGAAGTAGGCAAACTTTTGTTGCCCAGAAGCCATGCATTTTTCTTTGTTAAGTTTTTCCCCCTGGTTGTTCAAAACCATAGTAGGCAAGGTTGGGGTTTTTCAGATAGTTAGCTTGTATTTTGGTGTTTCACTAAACATTTGTTTACAAAATGTGCTAAGATACTCTGATGGCTCATGCAATTCCTTTATTTTGTTTCTTGTTCAAAATATTGCTATTTAATACTCAAAAACAACTCAGAATCCGTGAAGATTGAGATGGTAGACAGATAAATAAATTAAACAAATAAAAACTGTCGGAAACTTGTTGCTTATTAGTAAATTTCAGTGGGACAGAAATACAGAATTTTGAGGGAGCAAAAAAAATGGTGAAAATGAACCTTGAATTGATAATTGGCCAGTTCCCCATTTGGACATATTCCTTAAAAACTAGATACCTTGTGGCCTTTCTATTCTCTCTATATGCAGATTTTGATAGATCCCAAACAAAAAGTTCTATTTTTTATTTCTTAAAAGCAGAGAATGAGCCAAACACGAAACCAAGAGAACAAATAAAGATTTGTTGGCCCAAGTTTCCTTAGAAGAAAGACAAGATGATGAAAAATTAGAAAAACTTCTGAGAATCATCTTGCTCTGCACTTAAAGGACAAGTTCTGAATTGCATAATATTTTCCAGCTCCCGTGCCACTTTGGACTTAATAGCAGATGTGAGGAAATATGCAGACATGGCCCATTTTCCAAAAAGCATTGAGTTTCATAAATATTTGAGTTCTTGGATTTTTACAAACTGGCATGAATAAACAATTTTTCTCGAGACCCATGTGAAAATACCTAAAATGACTCTGGATTATTCTTGACTGAGAACATAATCCAGTCTTGGTATTTTGACAAGATGTGCCAAGCTCACCTGAGTCAATCAAACTTGCTTTAACCAGGTACTAGAATAAAACCAAGGAATTGTGGGAAGTCTCCTGCTCAAAGAATTATTCATATATGAACCCTCAAACTGTGCTCTGCAGAAAAGTCATCAAACAGCTTAAGCATTTTATTACCCTATGACAGTGATGGCGAACCTTTTAGAGACTGAGTGCCCAAACTGCAACCCCAAACCCACTTATGTATCGCCGGGTAGGCGTGGCCCATTGGGTGGGCGTGGCTGCGGTGGTCACAGCAGACTGGGTGGATGTGTCCAAGGTGGGCGTGGTCATCTCAATGTTGCTCATGGGGAGGAATGCCTGTGGGGGCCGGGCATGGTTGGTGGAGATCCAGGGGGTCTCTGGCAGGTGGGACAGTGGACAGGAGGCTTGTCCTGCAGGGTGAGGCGAGGCAGGGCGGGGGTGCCATTGTCGCAGGGCAAGGCGAGGCAGGGTCCGGGGCGGCTGCTGCCTGACACCATCGGCCCCCGCACACAGAAGCCAGTGAGCGCATGGGGGCCGACAGTGTCCGTCAGCAGTCACAGCTTGCCGGCCCCTCGACTGGCGCACTCTGGGGCTCTGCAGCCCGCCACCAGCAGTTCAGAGAAGCTGCCTCTCAGCTGGACAGCCGGCCGACAGCTGAGGAGGCAATGCAGTGGGTCATGTCCAGGAAAAGGAGAGCATGCGAGGCCAGGAGGGATGGAACAGGGGGGGGGAGGGAAACCAGCTGTGCTGGGATGCATCCAGCCACGTGGGACCTTGGCAAGTTAGCGGGTGGCTGGTTGAAGAGGGATGGTTGCCATCTCCGGAGCATGGCGCACGTGTCCACAGAGAGGGCTTTGAGTGCCGCCTCTGGCACGCGTGCCATAGGTTCGCCACCACTGCCCTCTGAAGAGAGACTGAAGGAGCTGGACATGGTTAGCTGTGACAAAAAAAAAAAGACTGTGGAGAAATACTATTTCAGAAAAACTTTTGAAAATATCACACAAAGCCTACTGTCTCTTCTTCCAGAGTGCAGAACACAGAGCAATGGACTGTTACAAGAATACAGATGGTTATAGAAGGCCGGAGAAAAACTTCTTAAAAGTTAAGAACAGCGTGATAGGAAAACCAGTTATGAAAAGAGTAGTGGATTCTCCTTTGTTGGATATCATCAAATGAAGACATCCAACAGATTCTTACTTTCAGGAAGGGATTGTTTTTGATGGCCTAACTGAAACCTCTGAATTCTCAGATTCACTGAATTTGCACAATGATACAAACTCAGTGGGTGTTAAGTCCAGTATTGGCAGACAGCAGTTTGGTTGTTTCCACAATTCATATTTTTTAAATATTTTTGTATTTCCTTTTTCCTTTCTCCCCTTTGCACAATTTCCTCCCATGCAGAGAGATTACTGAAACTAGCTATCTTTTCTGAACCTGCTGACAAAATACTTTCTAAAGCAGTGGTTCTCAACCTGTGGGTCGGGACCCCATTTGGGGTCGATCGACCATTTCATGGGGGTCGCCAAGCAAGGCTGTCCGCCATTTTTTTTGTCCGCCATTTTTTTTGTCCGCCATTTTTCCCCCTTTTCGGGCGGGTGCCTTACCTCCCTTGGGCTGGGCCAGCTGGTGGTCGGCCTGCTCCGTCTCTGCCGCTTGCCAGCAACGCCTCGGCCGGCACAGGGGGTGGAACCACGCATACGCGGCGCTCCCGGGCAGGGAAAGTCCTCGACTTACGACCAGTTGGGTAGTCCTCGACTTACGACCGGTTTAGTCCTCGACTTATGACTGGTTTAGTCCTCGACTTACGACCGGTTGGGGTCGCGGCATTAAAAAGGTTGAGAACCACTGTTCTAAAGAAGTGTTAACTGCTGGTTAACAAGCCCAGCTCTGTGACCTTCGTTAATTAGCACCCTCAGCTGGCTTGCACTGCTGCCTGAAACTGGCAAGACCCTAATCAGTTTCACCCTAAAGGCTTTCCTTTGCTTAAGTGGCTTCCAGTTCCAGCACAATAAGCAAAGAGCCTGGGCTAAGGCATTCCGTGTGTATTCCCCATTGTGTGTCTACTTACTTGTCTTATAATCTCTTCCTCTCCAGCGAGTGTAAATACAAATAATAATTTCCCCTTGTTAGTGATCTCAGAGCCAAGGTGAGGACTCCAAATGGCGGGAGAGTGGGGAAAAAAAGAGCTATAAGATTTACTCCTTTCCCCCACCTTCCTTGTGAGTTGTGTTTCAGAACCCTTCCTCCCTGTTTCAGCTCAGATGCTGATGCTGTAAGTTTGTTTAGGGCAGTGGTTCTCAACCTTTTTAATGCCGCGACCCCAACCGGTTGTAAGTCGAGGACTAAACCGGTCGTAAGTCGAGGACTAAACCGGTCGTAAGTCGAGGACTAAACCGGTCGTAAATCGAGGACTACCCAACCGGTCGTAAGTCGAGGACTTTCCCTGCCCGGGAGCACCGCACATGCGTGGTTCTGCCCCCTGCGCCGGCCGAGGCGTAGCTGGCAAGCGGCAGAGACGGAGCAGGCCGACCACCAGCTGGCCCAGCCCAAGGGAGGTAAGGCACCCGCCGGAAAAGGGGAAAAAATGGCGGACAAAAAAAATGGCGGACAAAAGAAATGGCGGACAGCCTTGCTTGGCGACCCCCATGAAATGGTCGATCGACCCCAAATGGGGTCCCGACCCACAGGTTGAGAACCACTGGTTTAGGGGAAATTTCTTAATAAACTCTTTTTTAAGATTTACTACCATCCTGGCATCATTCTTTTGTATCCCTCTTGCAAATAGAATTGCATAGAAATTCTTTATTGGCCAAGTGTGATGTCTCCAGGGCAGAAGCTCTCAGTGTATGTGCAAAACAGCAAAGTAGTCCTCAACTTACAACATTTGATTTAGAGAGGGTTCAAAATTACAACGGCACTAAAAAAAAAAGTGACATGACCATTTTTCACACTTATGACTGTTCCAGCATCCCAATGGTCACGTGATCAAAATTTAGACACTTAACATCTGACTCATATTTGTGACGGTTGCCATGTCCCAGATTCATGTGATCCCCTTTTGCGACCATCTGACAAGCCAAGTTAATGGGGAAGCCAGATTCACTTAACAACCATGTTACTAACTTAACAACTGCAGTAATTCACTTAGCAACGGTGGTAAAATGAGGCAAAACTCATTTAACAAATGTCTCACTTAGCAACAGGGGCTCAATCGTGGTCGTGAGTCAAGGACTACCTGTAAATAATAATCATAATAACAAAGGATAATAATCATAATATTGATACCAACAGAGAAGGTAGTGGAACTTTTCCAAACATGCACATATATTTATAAGCATTTAAAGGTAGATTGGTAACTGCGGCGGTTCCACACCAAAGGTTTTGTGCAAGTCTAATTTGGAGATCAGAATCAATTGATGTCTGACTTTATTCTGATTTGTTGAGAATCTCAGTGAAATTGTTTTTCTTAGGATAACTGCAGCTCTGCAGCCCTCCTGGGCAGCTTCATCTTCCCCTTGGTGGCAATTCCTTCCCACCCACTTCCAGATTCCTGGCTTCAGGGCTGTCCCACCTCACTTACCACACAGTAATTTTGTGGCCTTGTCTCTTTCTCTATAAATGGTTTCATATTCATCTTCTCCCAATCCACTCGTCATAACAGCATTTAAACAAGATCATTGCTACTAGTTTCAAAACTGTTTTCATCTTCACAGCTCACAAGGGGATTTAAGTGCAATAATGGGATTGTAGAAAAAGGACTGCAAAGCCTCTGGGAGATATCAGTGCTTTTGTTGTGTGTGGGTTTTTTTTTACAAACATAGCTTCCCAAACATAGCAACCCTTCTGAATTTTTTTTTAATTATAAAACACAGAGAAATATATCTACTGAAAACATGGATGCGCGGAAGAGAATTTTATTTTAGATTTGTAGTCAATGGAAGAAAGTATTTCTGTTACTATACGATGGATGATAGCTTGGGACAGGCCACTGATTGAATTACAATCTCCTCTTGATGAGATGAAGGGAAAGTTGAGGAACATATAACTGACCCATTGTGTACTTTGCATCTTCTCTTTGTTGTGAGGCTAAGCAGGCTGCTTTCCAGCAGCTTTTCAAGGGATTGGGAGGGGGAGGTGTATACACACTCACACACTCACATATATACTGTATACCCACGTGTGTAGCTGTACATCTAGGCTTACCTCTGCTTGTGCTTTGATTTCCTGAAGCAAAGAAGAAACATCGCTTTTCGTTGTCACCGAAGATAAAACAGACTGCAATTTCTGCTGATCCAGAGAGGAAACCAACAATTCATCCAAGCTAAAATACAACATATGCAAAATTGACATTGGATGAGACTGAAGAAAGAACATTGCCTGGTTTAATATTAGCACATAATATCTCCACTGTCTATTTCTACATGTGAAAAGGACCAGGAAGTATAATTTGTAATACCCAACCAAATCTGATCCCTAGAGAAAAAGCCGCTGAAATTCTAGTGCAGATATTAAGACTTTGATTCCCTTCATGGTGATACATTGTCAAAGAAAAGGGAAAACAAAGAACACATAAAAAGTGCTTTAACACAAAAATGAAAGAAATGCAACAACGATAAAAGAAAACATATGTCATTATAACAGTTAAAATTCCATATATACTTTTCTAATGCAAATATTATTCAAGTAGGTAGATATTTCTAGTACATTTATACAATTAATCTTTTCATGTGTTCGTTTTCTTCTCTTTGGCAATGCATTTTTCACCATCGCTATTATTTTTGCAGTTTGATCTGTTCTCTTATTAATTAAAGAGCAATAAAAAATTAAAAGAGACTTTGCTTCTCTTTTTTATATTCTTTTCTTACAAAAACAAGGACTCTCCTGAAATATTCCTGATCAAACAGGTTTGGAAATGATTTTCCTTTTTCCTTCTGCTAAATAATAATAATAATAATAATAATAATAATAATAATAATAATAATAATAACAACAACAACAACAACAACAACAATAATAAAGTTGGAAGGGACCCTGGAGGTCATCTAGTCCAACCCCCTGCTCAGGCAGGAACTCTATACCATTTCAGACAAATGGCTGTCCAGTCTCTTCTTAAAAACTTCCAGTGTTGGAGCATTCACCGCTTCTGGAGGCAGGTTGTTCCACTGGTTAATTGTTCTAACTGTCAGGAAGTTTCTCCTTAGTTCTAAGTTGCTTCTCTCTTTGATTAGTTTCCATCCGTTGCTTCTTGTCCTGCCTTCAGGCGCCTTGGAAAATAGCTTGACTCCCTCTTCTTTGGGGCAGCCCCTGAGATATTGGAACACTGCTATCATGTCCCCCCTCGTCCTTCTCTTCATTAAACTAGACATACCCAATTCCAGTCCCTTCTATTTCTGTTCCATGCATCTAAAAGGAATGATGGTGAAAATACGGTTTTGAACCTTGAAAAGTCTGAATTAGCAGACGATTAAAATAGGAAGTCGCAAAAGGAGTAAGGCCCATGGTGGAATCTGTTGCAATTTAATTTACAGGAAATGAGACTGGGAAATCAAGGGAAGGAAAAGAGAAAATTGATAGAAAAAGAAAGAGAAAATTGCATAAATGGTAAAGGCGACTTTGGAGAGGAAAAAAGACAGGTAGTCCTTGACATGATTATTGGGGGGGGGGGGGGGGNGGGGGGGGGGGGGGTCAGAATTTCCATTGCTAAGCAAGGCAGTTGTTAAGTAAGTCACGCCTGATTTTATAACTTTTTTGCAACAGTTATTAAGCAAATCGTTGCAGTTGTTAAGTGAATCAGGTGGCTGTTAAGCGAATCTGGCTTCCCCCATTGACTTTGCTTATCAGCGGAGAAAGTCACAAATGGGGATCACATGACCCGGGACACTGCAACCGTCGTAAACACAGGCCAGTTGCCAAGCATCCTAATTCTGATCATGCAACCATGGCGATGCTGCAACAGTCATAAGTGCAAGGACCAGTGGTAAGTCACTTTTCCCAGTGCTTGTAACTTTGAGTGGTTGCTAAATGAATGGTTGTAAGTCGAGGACTACCTGTACTGGAGGTCAGTCAGGAGGGACTATATGGCAACTCATTCTGCAAGAGTGAAAAAAAAATATATAATGGGGTCCTGGGTGGAGGATACGGCTTCAATAGACTTTACTTGAAGTTTCTTTAAGTATCTAAGTTTGCAATTCTTAGAGCTCTGAAATGCCTGAGCACTCCTAGTAACATATCAGGAGCTGAGAATTTGTTGACTCAGATCTTGGGGAGCATTTGATGCTTTGATCAAACCCTTGGCTTTCCCAGAGTTTTGACATTAAGAACAAAACTATACAAATGAAAAGAAAACATACAACTTTGCCGACTTGCCAACCATTGCAACATGCCGTTTTTCTTGGTGCAAAACTCAAATAGGCTGGGTGCAGAATTTGTGTATTTTAATGCAAAGTACACAAACCAGGGCAAATCTTTTTTGACTCTTTCCTCCACCCATGAAATATGTACTTTCAAGTTTTAAATCTTTGCCGGCTCCTAGTACAGAGCTAAGATTAAGAAAACATTAAAACTAACCTGATAGACCAGCTTTTCCCCGAGTTCAGTTTATTCAGGCTGCCATCATACTGTAGCCCTTCCTCATCAGATGTTGATCCAGGAGTTCCAGAGCCACTATTCCAAGGACTGGTTTCTTTTGAATGCTGCCTGCTTGTCATCCCAGGACTGGATAATCCTGAACATTCATTCAGCCTGGAAACATTTTCAATGGGAGCATCAAAGGATCTCACAACAGGGGGAAGATGCAACTCAGTTTTGATGGGTGAAGGTTGAGACTCCATAGAGAAGTCCTCAGTGCAGAGCTTATCAAGATCTGGCATGCTGAGAGCTCTCAGCTCCCGGAGTTTGGAACGAGACAAGGGCATGTGTCTAATATGACCACCTGAGGCTCTGCTTCTTCGGACATTGGTGGCAGATGGTGGTAAACTAACTGGTTCTCCCAAAGCAGGTCTTCCACTCTTCTCCAAGTGACCATCATCTTTGCTGCTCTTGGGGAAATTCTGCGCCACGTTTGTTAATGTCGAGCTGGTTGAAGATCTGGTGATCCTTGGAGAAGTTGGAACTTCACTTCCACAGTACGAACTCAAGCTCCGTCGCAAGGCCTGGACCGCATCGTTTACGCTGGTCGCTGAAACGGCAGACATGCCACTGGACAATCTTTGGCCAATGGGCAGTTTAGAGTTGAGGGAGGTGGAATGGAGGTCTATGGCTTTGACCATAGGCCTATCAAAATTAGCCAGGTTCTCAAACGATTTAATTCTCTGCTTTACAGAAAAAGAAGAAACGGGATCATGTGGCCAATTGAGTTCATAGTAGTAATAATTCCTCCTGCCTTTTTTCAGTTTTTGCGCAACGGGACTGCCATTGTCGCTCTTTGATTTCGGGATGCCGGCAGATGTGGCTTTTGCATCCTGACTGCTCAGACTGAGGTGGACAATTTTGAGCAGGCCCAACTCTGAATCGGAAGGGTTTGCACTTGAAACATTACCTAAGATATCCTGGACATGATGCGCTGGTTGATCTCTATCACTGCTGTCTTCCCGTAAATGAGCAGATAATTGTGCTGGCACTGAATAGGTCCTTGTCACCGGTTTTAATGCACTGAGAGCATCTTCCTTGTGGAAAGTGCTCTGCCAACAATCCAGCGTTTCGCTCCTGAGTTGAATGGTCTTATTGTCATCTTCTTTCTTGTCTAGGGGCAAATCAGGAATTAATGAGGAGGAAGAGGAGGACGAGGAAGATAACCTTACTTCAATGAAAGTGCGCTGAATTTCCTGACTGGGCTGCTCTTGCCGAGCAGGGGGATAAATAAAGCAAGAAGACTCCTTTTTAAAAAGCCCTGCATTGTCAGACTGTAATGGCTTCATTTCCAATCCATCATGATTCAAACTCACACTCATCCCCCCGTTTTCGGCTCTATCATTCGGGCAACAAGCCTTGGATGTGGCTTCAGAAGGTGAAGTTGACTGAGAAGGGCTGTCTCTTGTTGGACAATGATCTGTGCTAGCTCTCCCCCGTTTTTCGCTGTTCATAACCTCCCACTTGGTGACCTGTGCTTCTTTTTCCACTTTAGGAGATCCTGATGTTCCGGCCCTGCCAAATTTTGATTTGATCATGGCTTTATCTTTATTTTTCATAATGCTGCTCTCACCGTTCAACAGGGGCAGAGTGGATGTCTGAGCCTCCAGTGAAGGGGCCTGATCTTCCTCCTGCTGCTGAAATATCTTAGAACCCATAGAGAGACTCCTGCTGGGCGGTTCCAGATGTGTGGCTAAGTTATGGAGCGAGGAACCTTTTTTTGAAAGGAGCCTGGGTGAACTTTGGGCAGGGAGGGTTATCTTTTTTTGATCAGTGCCCTCGGCTTTGGCAGGAGCAGTGACAAGAGCATCAGAATGAGCCCTGGATTTATTTTTAATGTTAAGAGCTTTTCCTTTAGGCCCTGCTTTGTTTTGCTGATTATTTGAAAGAGTTTCCACCGTACTCTTTTGCGGAGTGCCTTTAGTTTCATGATGTAATTTAGGGGAAGAAGAGGGACTGTATGGAATGCTAAAGCCCTTGCACTGACCACAATTCAGGGTTTTGGTACTTGAGGGTTTCGAGATAACAGTGTTGGCTTTTTCATTCTTTCCTAGTAAATTGTGAGCGGAAGAGACCCTGCCCAAATGTTTTGGTTTGGTCAAAAGGGGAGATTTGGGACTGTTGACTATTTTTTGTATTGCAGTCTTCATAGTATAGCTTTCTGTTCTTCTTAACTGGGGTGGAGCACTGGTTCCTTTCCCCATCGCAGCAGAAGGACTACCAATTACACTGCTTCCACAGTCCATCACTAAATCATTTTCTACCTGCAACTGTTGGGGTTTTTCCAGTTGATCTTGGCCTAGCATGTTGTCTTCCCAGCTACTGATATTTTCTGTTGGACAGGAATGTATTTCTGGCACAGAAGGTTTACATATTTCCATTAGATTTTCTTGGTTCTGCAGGCTATTTCCTCCTTCACTCCTTGAACAACCATTCTCAGTGGAAGAGCAGACTGGCCTGTCTTGCTCCAAACTGTCTACCCCTTGTGGAGAAACATCTGGAGAAGATTGAAAAACTGCTGATGGAACCGTATGTTCTGCACTGAAGTTTTTCGATAAGCGCGATTTTTCTAATGTAAAATTTCCATGGGATGTTTCCGGTGAATCTATTTCTGTTTTGCTTTCTGCCTGCAAACAGTTGTTCAAAGAATGGTAAATTGGTGGATGATGAGATGGTTTTATGGGAGATGTGTCCAGCTGGTTTTGAATACAATGTTGGTCATAATTCAGACTGCAAATTTCTATTTGCTCCTCATCTGATTCAACTAGTTTATGGGTTACCAAAGGATTATCACAAACAGATAGTAAGAGTGATGAACTGTCTCCGGGATTCTCGGCTAAGGATTCTGTGTCTGAACTGGAATCTTCTGCAGCAGCGTACATAGATTTTGGAATAGTGTTGCTTTTCGTTTCAATTTCAGTCAAATGGTCATCACTAAGGCTGCTAAAATTCCTTGAATAGGTATTCAGACAGCTTTGGTTTACAGTTAAAATTTTGCTTGCATTAATGGAATCCAGGACAGAAAAAACCAAGGTCTCTTGTGTATTAGTAACAGAATTTGCAGCTCTCCCTACAAGATCATTTTTAATTATATTTGATACAGAATTCGGCTGAGCTTCTTCTGCCATCACAAAACTATTCTCCTTGGTATGTCTGTTCTTGACTAATAAACAGTTACCATCTTTTTCTTCTGGGGAATTCATTTTGCCAGAGAAGTCATCAATCTCTTCTAATAGCACCACAGAAGTGTCTTGAATAGAATGGATTTCTGAGGGATCTGCTGGTACCACCTTAGTGTTAGCATCAGACACCAATCCTGTCCTTTCTGCCACACAATCCAGAGGCGATTCCAAAGGTTCTTTCTCATATGCAAAGGTGATTTCTTCTTTCATCACAATAACATTGCTTGATTCTTTCTGAACTGCCTCGTCTGCCTCTGAAGACACAAAGAGATTTGTAAATCTGTTAAAGGCTGCATAAAGAACCAATGAAACAATTCCATCCTCCTAATTACACAATTATTAAAACCTTACACTAGCTTTTAATTTTAGAGGTTCAACTGGATTCAGCGATGATTAAGATGTTGGAGAGTTAAGCTTTATTAATTATCTAATTATCACCATCTTTCCAGATACAATTTGGCACGCTGGTTAGGACCTTTAAAACGTTCACATTCTGGTCTAAATATAGATAGTCCTTGACTTAGAATCATCCATTTAGCTGTTCAAAGTTATAATGGCACTAAAAAAAGTGACTTACAACTGGCTGTCACACTTATGATGTTGCAGCATCCCCAACATTGTGTGATAAAAATGTGGGTGCTTGGCAACTGGCATTTTTTCAGTGGCACCATCCTGGGGTGATGTGATTGCCATTTGTGACCTTCCTAGTCAGCTTCTGACAAGTAGAACCAATGGGGGAAATTGGATTCGCTTGATGATTGTGTGATTTGTTTAACAACGTCTTACGTAGCAATGGAAATTCTGACCCCAATTGTGGTCGTAAGTTGAGGATTACCTGTATATTCAACCAATAAGAACAGCTAGGCAGCCTTCATTATGAATCCTTCCTCTTCCGAAGCATGTTAACATACATACACAAATTATCTCAGAAACTATTCCCTACTACTTTTTCATCTGAGACTCTTTAGCCCAAATTTTCTCAATTGGGGGGCAAAAAAAAGTGTTTTTATTTTCATAGTTTTAGTGAATTTTAACATTTGGTAGATTTCAATTTTTTAGTAAATATTTTCTTTGTATATATTGAATCCTTCTCTTGGTTTTCAATTATTTCTAAGGAAAAAAGCAGGATACCCCTATTTCAAACATAACAAATCTCTCCCAGAATTCAAGGTTATTAATTATGCCAGTAGCGAGCATCATTTTGGTTGCATCTAGATTTTACTGTCTGCAAAAGGAAGGGTTACTTCCATCACTAAATGCCTTTTGATTATGGAGGCTACAAACTCCTCAGCTATCCCAAACCCGCACTGCTAGATGGCTGTAATTTACGCTGTGCCTGTCTAATAAACTTAAGTTGTATCCTCAAGTCATTTGGTTGTTTTAAGTGAGTCAGATCTTAGCCACTACAGCATGAATGACAATAAAATATGGAATGCTTTGGCTCCTGTCCAGTTTTGTGAGTTCTTAAAAAGTCTTTAATTAGTTCAGGGATACCTACATACATCTGCCCATTGACCACAGAACAGAAAAAGAAGACAAAAAACTTACGCAAAATGGCTTTCTGGATGTCCAGTGTAATGGAGGTGGGAAGATGTCTTACATATTGACAAGCTTCCTCATAAGAGAATCCACGGATGGGGATACCATTGATAGAAAGGATCTCATCTCTCGGGACCATCCTTCCCATGGATGCCTGTTAAGAATGCATTTATTAATACAGTACTGTCATAGCCGCACGATTTCAGGATGCAGAATAACATGAAGATGACGCTCAATTGCTTCACCAGGAAATGGGGAATGGATTCTATATTCAGAGTCCTTCCAGCAAGAGGACAGGCCCTTTTTGGCATCCTCTGAACCAGAGGAACCACCAACTCCTTAACGTGGCAAAAGTCCAAGATGGCAAAATCAAGGTGAGGTAATGTCTACTATGGGACAAAATTGTCTATCCTGTAGGAGGCTTCCATTGGTTTTAGTCTGCTGCTGTCTCTTAGGAAGAGGTTTAGCTATCAGGAGTCACTTAAAGCTCTTTACGAACCCGTTTCTGCCTTTCTACAAGCCAACTTTGTTCGTCGCACCTGACTTGCCTATCTTATCTACCTAGAGTACTAAGCTACATTGATTGGATTTCGATCAGCTATAGTGGGATTGGCTTCCTTTACAACATGTGCTTCAGGGAACACAATATACAGGACAGAATCACTGCAATGTTAATAAAGTCCTAGAAATATTGTTAACAGGGAAGTGTGCAAATACTGTAGTAAGACATCTTGGTGGCTGGAATACCACCTGGGGAGGCAGAGGACATGCAGACCACTCCCTGCAACATTTTGTCCGGTCTCCTCAAACATTCCCTAAGGACTCACATTTTAGCCATGGAGTAAAACTCATTCTTGTAATGCAAAAGAGTGAGTTGCCTTTATACCCAAATATAGTCGTTGGATATTTAAGCACTGTTTTGCTATGCAATACTGTAGTGTAATGCAAATAATAATAACTGCCTTGTTAAGTCAGATTACAGCTAAAGGGATGTCTCCAAGAAGCTCAGATACAGAAACAGGATTTTCCTATTTGTTCCCATTGCAGAAATTCCCTTCTGAAGCCATCTATACCATCACTCATAGCAATTTTGCTATTGACTTAACAAATTAAACTTGGCTTCCCAAAAGATGATTTCATCTTGAAAATAATCTGAAAATCCCTGAATGGCGGTATAATTGTTCTTTCTTGTCAACAAGCTTCATACCTTTTAAAATGTAACACATTCTGTTTCTAAATGAGTTCAGTTTTTGTAAAGTGAGCAATATTTACTAATTCCTTTTACAGTATGGTTCCTTTTACAATAGTGTGATTTCCTTACCCTGAGAATTGTAAGTCAGTAGGGTGGGAAAGCAGGGCTAAATCAATTCATTAATTGCCTATTTAGCAAGGGGTACGTACAGTGGAGGCATGAGGCAAGACTCACAAAATTAACATTTGGCCTGAGGCTACTATGTCTGTTTCTTGCACGATCTCAACTTCCCCTCTGAATTGAAACTCTATTAGGGATAATAAAGAGAAAGACATTTTTTTTTTACCCTTTCAGCTGCTCCACCTGGTTGCAAGCCTGTTATGACGACGCGCAAAGGGTTGGCATGAATTTCAAGATCCAGGCCAAAGGATTCATTTTCATTCCGAGATAAAGTAATTGATTCCACGTGGCTCTGCTCCAGGGGACTCTCTTGAGCTTCATTCTTCTGGATGGATGGAAGGACCTTCCCACTGGCTCTGCTGCAAGCACCGTGTTCCTCATTCTTGGGCCTTGGGATTCCATGGTATTCAATACTCATCAGGCTTTTCACTCGGGTGACGGCTTTATGTTCTAGCTTAGGAGACCTCTTAGATTCTAGCTGTTCCTCTCGAAAGTCCTTCACATTCAAGTAGCCTGGATGAAGCTCTGGAAGATGATGAAGTTCTTTATCGGGAAGAAAAGGGGTGTCTGGTGTATGCTCCCCAGGGCTCTCGTTCAGATTCCCAGAGCCGGTGGCAGCTAAGTCACTGTAGGTATTTGTTGTAGATTCTTTCTCCTGCCTGGTATCTCCATTTTGCGCTGAAGGAGCTGCAGTGGAAATACTACAGTCATTGTCTCCTTTTCTTTGACCTTTTGACTTCGATCCTCTTTGGAAGCAGACTCCATCTTGTTTGGCAAAGTCATCCTCATCACTCACATCTCCATCATAAAAGGCAATCCTTCTCTGTCTTTGGAAAGCAGACTGGGTCCCTTTGGGGCTGTCGCTGAAACTAACATGCCGAACAGCTGTCTCCCTTGGCTTGCTGTGAGGACCAGGTGAGCTACTGCCAACAGCTGGTGAACTGCACAGACTGGATTCTTTGGTAGCTAAGAATAAAATACAATTTGTCAATATTATCACAGAATGCAATGACCTGATCTATCACGATTTTCCATATTGCCCTCTGTTCTGAAGGTAGGACAAGAAGCAACGGATGGAAACTGATCAAGGAGAGAAGCAACTTAGAACTAAGGAGAAACTTCCTGACAGTTAGAACAATTAACCA